GAGAAATGGACCACTCCCATCCCATAGGCAACACTACTGTGCCAGACAGGGCCCAGGCCTGCTCCCAAACCTCCAGATGACCCCTGGATAGCAATAAGCCCTTGAGAATCCTGATTCCCAGGATCCCCCAACCCCATACAGCATGAACCCACCAAGCACCTAGAAGACCTGAGTCCTCTGAAGTCCCTGGGCCTGGCAGAACTGCGGAGAGGATCCAGCTTCAAGTTCCCATTAACAAACCCTCAGCTCCACCCCCACTCCATCAGCTTTTCAGAATCATTCTGGAATCTGGATATAGAGCCCCTCTTCCCCTCTACCAAGGCTCCTTGCCAAGTAGGCTTGGCCCATGATTAAAAGCCTTGGGGAGAATTGGGGCTCAGTGGCAGAGTGCTTGCCCAGAACAGGCAAGGCCCTGGGTTCAAGCTCCTGCACTGAAAAGAAAAAAAAAAAAAAAAAAAAAAAACAGAAAAAAGCCTTGGGGAGAAAAGGACAATTCTGGGCTGGGGTGCTCCCAGATGGTTCGCATGAACATGGTAGGCAGGCAAGGTGGGACCTGGCAAGGGCCACCTTGGCCAAGGAAGGTCCCTCAGGATTGATTGAGACCCAGAGGAGGAAGAAGGGACACAACAGGAAAAGTTGCACCTGGAAGATGTTGGCCCATGTTCTACATCCTATGCGTCTTTGTTTTCTCCCCAGACTTGTATTTCCAGCGTCTCCCTTTCCTGGACCCACTACCCAGAAGTTCCCAGCCCCCTGGCAGGGCAGCTACATGTCTATCAGAGTAGTATTCTACCAGTCCTTCCTCTAGTCGTTGTGGACTTTGTGCAGGTCTTTTCRTCTTTCTGAGTCTCGTTCTCAGCATCTGTGGGATGGGCGTGAACAGGGGTCCTGAGATCAAGGTGGCAATGTGAGTAAGCAGCCTGGCTTGGGTTCAGTGAGGGAAGGCCACCATTAGCTTGGCAATCTCCACCACCACAGATGAGCTGGGATGAAGTTGTTGTTGAAGGGAGGGAAGAAAGGAGGGAGATGGTTGGTGACTGTCCTGGAGGAGCCGACGTGCCACAGTCCAGAGCTGGGATAGGGGAGGCCTCTAGAAGGTATGGGTGTGAGAAAAGCTTGCAGTGGTGATGGAACAGCAGGAACAAAGCAGAGACAAGAAGGCATTTAGCTTGTGTGAACGTTGTGAGAAAACTGGCAAGGGAGGACCTGTGGCACCTGGATTTGATGCTAGTATGAACAGTAGCTGTCATGGCACCCCTGCCCACCAGAGGCTACCCATCCCTATTCATTCTTCCCACCAGCCTCCTAAGGGAATCGTATTATCTCAGTTGGAGAAACTGAGATAAGGTTATCCCAGTGGAGAGGGTCAGCTCTGGAGGCCAAAGTACGAGCACACAGGGATTATACCTGACACCCTGCTCCTCCCAAGAGCTGACAGTGTCCACCCGAACACTGTCAGCCTTTGGTGCCTACCTGTACCCAGGCAGAGGAGAGAAAAAGACACTGCAGAAGGCTTACTCCACTTTTGAGGCCAGTTTCATTCTGGGGTCAGTCTCTCCTTGAGGACGTGAGTGTGACCAGGAATCTGGAATGAGACTCGCCCTCAAACTATGAGGGGACGCATCTTAAAATGGGTCTCTTGCCTTCTCAGGGAATTGATATAGCTAGCCTGGAGGAGGCACCCAGTAAASTCGGGATCCAGAACAGGTAACAGCAGCCAAGCATCTCCCCCAAATCCTCAACAACAGGAGGGATGCGGAGCATCTGGCAGCGCTGCATTCCAGTGACGGTAGCAGCAGGCCACAAAGCCTCACCCCTCCCTCCTGCAAAAGCTGCGGCAGGTTGTTGGGAAGATGAGGGACCCAGATGTGTAATGTTGCCTCCCTCCGACAGGGAGAGCCACAGGGAGGTGGAGACAGGGGCTGGGAGACCCAGACAGACACACGTCACCCACCATTAACCATAGCTAGACTGACGCATGCCCCATCGTGGGCTTTGCTCCCTGTGTGTCCACTCAGGAGATGAGCACATAGGTACTCGGGCATTGTTAATTTGCTAGGGGTCCAAACCCCTCAGGCCCCTTCACTGCTTCCCCCCACCCACCCCCAGAGGAAGGGAAGCCCTGGCCCACACTACCACTGAAGCAGTGCTAGGCTAAAGAATGCAGCCAGGTGGGCAGCTCAAGCAGGCACTCCACCCAGCACTTAGCCAGAGAAGCCCAGGGATACCAGAGAACAGGGAACCATGACCCAACAGAGAAGACAGAAGAGACAGACAGATTAGGGTGGGCACAGATTGAAGAGAGGAATAGACATGAAAGCAGGACCAAAAAAAAGATGACAGACTCAAAGAAAGGGGACAGGGGAGAGAAGAGGTAAAGACACAGGGGCAAATAGCAGTGAGGAAAGCATCCCCTGCCTGAATACTGGGATGGGCATAATTGGAAACTGGAGATGAAAGGCAGTGTGCTCTAACTCCATCCCTCCAGACACACGAGTACACATATGCGCACACGCACAATGCACACGCACCCACACACAATGCACACATGCTCGCTTCCTTCTTTGAAACCCCGATCCAGGTCCAGGTGGAATGAGAGAGGCCCCCTCCTTAAAGCTGAAGTCCTGTCCTCCCTCCAGCAGCAACTCCTTTGCCCTTCTCAATCTGGCGGCAGCCTTGGTCCATTTCGCCTGGTGGGCAGAGAGCCATGCTGCCAGAGCTATTATAGAAATAACAGCCAACGGACCCCGAAACCGCACTTGATTTAAACCCAGCAGCTTACAAAGCTGAGCCCATTCACACTGGCAGACACTAATGAGGAAGGAAATTACTTGACCATCCAGGGCCCTCCCCACTGAGAAGTTGTCACCCCAATACCTTAAGGCTTAGGGCTCCACTCCCCACCTTGGAAATCCACCTGTATCAATGTCATCCTGGCCTGGCCATGCTGACCAGCCACTCACCCCAGAGGAGGCACACCAAGCCCTCTGGTCCCAATGGCAGYCCCAGCATTTTATGTCAGTTCAACAAAAGCCTCAACTCTAACCAGCTATGGTCATATAGGGAGGGGACCTCAAGATTCCCTTCCTTTTCTCCCTCCAAGGATCAAAAAGCGTTTGCATCTGCCGGACCAGGGCAGCTGAAGGGCGCTGGTTGTCGTGGCAAACCCTCCACGATGTCACACCATTAGTCACCTCCCCCTGGACCCTCAGAGCACCACAACCTCTGCCTCATCCCCACTCTCATTCCCTAATTATGGTTTGCAAGACATGTCCCAAACCCTCAAATTAGCTCCAACTATATCGACAAGAGAAGAGCGTCCAGCTGGAAATGTGCCGCTGCCATCACACCCGCCTCACCATCTTCTGGCTGGAAACAGAGAGACAGGTGTCCACTCTGGTCAGGGTCTCACTCTGGCCTTCTAGGGGAGACCCATGCAGGCCCAGCAAACATATGAACAACTGCAGGATACAGGGAAGGGAAGCGAGGTCAGGAGAGGCTGAAAAAGACGTTTACTTAAACCGTCACTCAAGGAGCTATGAAACAGGGAGGAAAAAATAACTGTGGCTTGGCTTGTGCTTGGCTTTGAACAAGAAAGAACAACAAAAATAATGTTTTTGCTCTTTTTAAATACTGCAAAGGAAAGACGATAATGCACCCATCAGCTCTGAACTTCCACACAATTCTCTTTTCTCTGTGCACTCCCCCCACCCCATACACACAAAAAAAATTCAGACATTTGACAGAGGACACGTCCGTGCRGCACCTGTAATTTGCCAACTGATCACCCGCCTGAGCACAGCCAGGCTGTGCTCGGAGAGATGACAAGACGGAGAGAGACTCACAGCAGTGCTTCTCCTGAGTTTGTTTTTTTTTTTTTTCTCATTTGGGAGAACCTACTAGCTGGAGTTGGCAGGTTCTGTAGCAGAACTAGGGGCTCCTACCCTTGGGCGGAAATGTTCTAATGACGCAGAGCCAGCCTCCCCTTTCCCTGAGGCCAGACCCTTCCCCTTGGCAACCAGCAGCCCAACTCCTCATGCCCCCAACCTTAGGCCAGGACACTAAAGAAAGAGTGCAGGGACAGGTGGCTCCTCAGACTCAGGGACAGAAAACAGAAGCAGGCTGGTCACTATTCCCCAAAGGGTTGTCTGGGTACTGACATATGGCTGGGGCATGGTGTCAGGAAACAGATGCTGTCCTAAAGGCCATTCACACTGAATACCCACTCCCAGCCCAGACACATCTGGCTTAGTTTGCGGGTTCTTTGGGAGGGCAAGGAGGCTCAGAAAGACCAAGAGCACCAGCAGAGGCTGGCAGAGTCTGAGATGCTATCACACTGTTGGCAGCGCAGTGGCGGCAGCAGCAGCAGGGGCAAGCAGGGGTCCTCACCCCCATTCACCTTCTGTCCGAGACCCGCACCTTTACCTCCCAATTCGATCCTGAGGAACACTCCCCTCAAGGACCCCCAAGAACAGGCGACAGGAATCACCGGCAAGAAGGTGCTCACACCCTCTGCATCCAGACCCCTTCGAAAGAAAAAGGCAGGTGTGGAGGTGACCCCACCTCTGAYTCTAAAGCGCCAGGTTCCCACCGGGGAGAGAACGTGGGGCAGAWGCGTCGCTCCAACTCTGCCGGGCAGGGGTCGCTGGCCAGCCCCCTTACCCAACCCCCAGGTTTCCTTCTCACCGGGACAGTGGCAGGAGAATCAGCTGACAGACTCGGACCCCCTCCCCATCCCGGGGCTTGGAGATCTTGCCCTGCTCCCTTTGAGGGTTTGGGTGAAGCAGGGGCACCGCGGGGAAGTTTCGCGACGCAGCTAGAAGCGCCGGGACCGTGGCAGCCAGCCCTCGGGGCTTGGGGCCACCGCCCCCGGGCGCAGCGTTCCGCCGGACTCAGCGCCCCCGCTCCAAAGAGGATCGCCTGGAGGAACCAGCGCCGACTGAAGGACTAAGGGGAGCACAGGGCTCGGTGGGGTCCCGCGGCCGGCGGAGGCCACTTACGTGTGCTGCTGGGGGAAGCTGTAGGCAGAAGCGTCGGGGGCGGCGAGCAGCAGTAGAAGCAGCAGCGGCAGCAGCAGCAGCAACAGCGGGCGCGCGGGCCCGGACGCCGGGAGCCAGGGGCCAGGGCAGGGCCGGGGACCGCGGCCGGGCCAGGGGCACGCAGTCCGCGCCGGGCCGAGCCGAGAGGCGCCGCAGGTCCGAGCCGGCACCGCCATGTTTCCATTCAAGATGCGGCGCCGCGGGGAGGGGGGGCGGCGGTGGCGGCGGCGGCGGCGGGATGGGGGGGTGCAGGCGGCGGGCTGCGGGCGGCAACCGGCCTCTCCTCCTCCGCCACCTTCTCGGCGCGGGGCCTCTAGGGCTGCACCGGCCGCAGCGCCTCTGCGGGTTGCGAGCTACGATYTCCCCGCCGCGCTGACTCCAAGCGCTCTGAGCGCCTGGCCCGGGACCTGCGCTCAAATAGCGGCCGCCGCCAACCTGCCGGCGCCGCCCTCCCCTCTCTCTTCTTCCCTCCCTCCCCCGCTCCCTGGCCGGCCCGCCCCCCTCCTCCTTTCGCCTCCCCCTCCCGTCCTCCCTGCCCGGCTCGCCCCCGCCGCGGCCACGCGCCCTCCTGTGCCCGCGCGCCCCTCGTCCCCGCGCAGCCCCGAGCCTGCCCTACTGGCCCGCGCAACCGAGTGGAGTCCGGGCGCGCGCGTCCAGTGCCCCAGCCACGGTCAGAGCGTGCCGTGTGCGGCCGGGTCCCCACACCACAAGCCCAGGTGCTCCTCTCTGCCCTACCCGCAAGGAGAGTCTCCCTCCTGAGAGGCAGGGTAGGGGCATATGTGACCCTTCTGGGGCTCGACCTTCAACAGGCTTGAGGCCTGGTGTCACAGGTTTAATGATGGAATGGCAGGATTCAGCAGACTATAGAAGAAGGTGGCAGTGCTGTCGTACCCTCAGTGACTCCAGCTACCTCGGGATTTCTCTCTGCCAGGGATTGCATGTTCAGACCCTGGCAGAAAGAAAAGGCAGGACCTCCTTTTTCCCTGAGCCAGAACCTGGGTACAGTTGCACAAGTGTGGGGGGCTGAAGATGGCAGGATGCAGCCTCCTGGATTCACTTCCCTGGGCTAAGCAGGTACTAKGCAGAGAGGAGCCCCAAATACCAGTTCCCAGGGCTTGCACAGCTGCTAGTCAGACTCTTCTAGGGCCAATGAGTGTGAGCACAACCCAAACATTCCTAGAGCCCCCTGACTCTTTCTTGCTTCAGGGAAAAGGCTGGGACTTGTTTCACTTCCAACCCTCAGCTTGTGGAGTGGCCTCTCAGAGCCTCAGTTTCCTCCCTGAGAATGCTTGTGTGGGTTCTCAGACCTATTTCCAGGATGAAGTGATAATGGGATGAATTAGTTGGTAAGCAGAAGCACTTGTAGTTGGGGGATAGTATCCCTGGGATCCTATCAAATTTCCCCCTAGAATATCACTCTGCCTCTGGATAGGATAGGAGAATGCRCCCTGCTGGTCGGGCACAGAGCCCGACTCCTTTAGCATTAGCTACCCAGAAACTGCCTAACATAAAGAGTGAGGGACAGTAACTGCTGGGCAGCTTAGTTCATACATAGATGCTCAGAAGCCKTCAACTAATGATATCTGGCTGGGTCTCACATCATCCTCTCAAAGGTTATCTCAAGGAGGGTTGCAGTTGAGGAGGGAAGAACAGTGGTCCCTAGCATAAGGAACACAGAGGTGGTGTTAGAGGCTGGAAATAGGACTCAGGACAACCTTTTTTTATTCCCTAGTCCTGGTGTGCTTCCCCCACCCCTACAAGTTAGGGCTCCACAAGGGGACAGCTTCCTTCATTTCTTGGAGCTTTCCTTACTCCTGACCTTGAGTGGCACTTTAAGGGTCAGACTGAGATTTGCCAATAGACTCCAAACCACAAAGCTCCCAAAACATTATCCCAGTAAGACAGTGCAGGGGCCAGAGGCAAATAAAGAGGGGAAGCAATTAAGGGTAAATAGGGAGTAAGAGTTTACACATCCCTGGACCTCAAACACCTACAGTCCTGGGGTCTAGTGGACTATGGGAGATCAAGTCAGGACAGCTTTGCAGGGAGACAAGCAGAACCCTCACTGAGCCAGAGGTTTGAGTGTAGCAAATATGTGCCCCTACCCACGTCCATACAGAGTAGTCCCTCCACTAGGCTGGACATGGTGGGAGGGTCCTATTATGAAGAGTCAATAAGCCTGGGCTAACCAGCCCCCTTGCCAGTCCCTCCTGGTGATACCTGTCTCCAGCATCTCTGTCCCCTTACAACTAGGTAGGACTGGCCTGAGGTGTCTCCCGGATTTGTTTGCTGAACAGATAACTTGTGTTCATGGTCCCAGGTGACGAGCACACAGGRTGTAACTTCTCCTGAGTGCCCTGTGGGGAATGGGCACCTTCCCARGACAAAGTCTCCAACAGCCTGAGAAATGAGGGGCAGCCTGCCTACCCTTTGACACCAGGATTATGGTGCTATCCCCAGAGAGTGCCCAGGCCATGAGGCACCTGGAGCCAGTCTGGGTATAACCATGAACACAGGCAGTTGGGCATTTCAGTTCCAGCCTCTGCAGATGTATACCTAATTGAGGCCGCTGGCTCTGAGGGGAAGGCGGGAGATTTTGGTTGACAGGCCGTTAAAGGAAGACAAATAAGGAGGAGAGGTAATTAAGAGTTAATGGGTAGTAAGAGTTTACACATTCCAACTTTTGAGGCTCACAATATCTTTGGCCTCCTGGTGGCTGATTCCAACAACAGGTTAAGATCTTGGGAGGAGGGGGCTGGGGATGTGGCTCAAGCGGTAGCGCGCTCACCTGGCATGCGTGTGGCCCGGGTTTGATCCTCAGCACTACATACAAATAAAGATGTTGTGTCAGCCAAAAACTAAAAAATAAATATTAAAAAAATTCCCTCTCTCTCTCTCTCTCTCTCTCTCTCTCTCTCTCTTTTGGGAGGAGAGATCCAGCCTTCCCAGGAATAGTACTTCCAGGGCAGACATACTGATGGGCTAGACAGGAAAGGCCTGAGGCTACCTGCTTGGCCCCAGGTGCCTGTACAGGAAGATATGATGTAACAGGGGCAGGTAAAGCTACTGTTAGCGGAAAGGGATCTGGCTTGGCAGGAGGCTATAGGTGCTATTTCTGCATTCAGGCAGAAGGGAGGTCAGCTCAGCATCCATAAGAGATGGAAAGAATTTTATGGGGGAACTTACTGTGAGCCAAATAGGCCCTGGGCTTGGGCATGACTCTGGAGGGAACAGGAAGCCCATCAGAAATGTCTAGGACTCCTGGGATGGCAAGATTCTCACCCCAGCATGCTCTACTTCCAAGCCTCCCCTCCTGTTATCCTTTTGCCCCTCAAGTCAGCAGGCTGGACAGCTCCTTATTCAGTGAAATCTGCCCTGCAGCTTTTTATTATTAKTAGTAGTAGTAGTAGTAGTCATTGATGAACCTTTATTTATTTATTTGTATGTGGTGCTGAGAATTGAACCCAGGGCCTCACACATGCCAGACAAGCGCACTATTACTTAGTTACAACCCCAGCCCCTGCCCTGAAGCTTTATTCCTCCAGTTCCTATTGCCTGGAGCACCCTTCCCCATCTCTACCACTTGGACCCAGGATATTCATAAATCCATCAAACCACTTATACCAGGAAGCCTTCCCAGACCAGACTCTCCTCAGCTGGTTAGACTTCCCCACCTCAGTCCCCTCTTTCCTGCCCCTTCCCCAGCCACACACATATACAGTGGCCTCTGCCTTGGGATCAGAAATATACCTCTACTCTGGACTCTTGTCAAACTGAGACCAGAGGCTCCCTAGTCCGTGTTATGCCCTCTAGGWCCTATACAGGTTTTGGCCATTGAGAGAGAACAAGAAGTATGAACAGAAGGACTAATTTGAGTGTTATGTTAAGGAGAACAGGGGTATACCTAGGAAGGATGTGGTTTGGGCACAAGGTAGGATAACTTTGGCAACAGACATCACATGTTATGTAGTAGGCAAGTCACTTTACCCCTCTGATCCTATTTCTTCAACCATATAGTGGCATACATGGTCCCTATTTAGCGGGGCAGGAGTCTGAAGAGCCACTCTTGAGGGTTTTAGCCCTGAGGGTAAGATTTGACACTCAGCAAGGGCTTAGTGAAGGAGAGACTCAAACATTCCCAGGAAGGGCAGGCCCTGTGTACCAGCAAGCAGGAAGACTTCCTGGAAAAGAAAGAGGGATCCAGCTCAATTTTGCAAGATGAGCAAGGTAGGTGGACATGTTAAGGAAGAGAGAAAGGAGACACTGGAGGCTAAATATGACCCTACCCTTGTAAGTCTCATTGATCCATCTGCACCCAGGTCATTTGAGCAGATTTCAGCCTTAAAAAGTAGGAGAGCATCCCTATCTCAACCAACTCATTTCTTTTTTCTCTCTGYCCCCCAGTACTGGGGATTAAGCTCAAACATGCTTTATGACTGAATTATAGCTCCAGCCCCTTTTTATTTATTCTGAGACAGGGTCTCATTAAATTTCCTAGGCTAGCCTTGAACTTGTGATCCTCCAGCCTCAGTCTCCCCAAATAGTTGGGATTTTTAAGAATGAGCCACCTGCCTGGCTTCATCCAGCCTATTTCAACACACCTATTCCTTTGGGGCTGGACTCAGGAGTCCCCAAGGGCCCTTATCTGGGACACATTATATATGGGCATACCACTATAGCACATGCCAGTAGCTGCTGTGGCTTCTCCACYACTTCTTTGGAAATACATAGAAATTATATGCTCCCCCAAATGCCCTGCTTGAGCATGGTGCACACACACTATTACCTTCAGATACAACCAGAAGAGGATCTCACCTCTGAATGTACCAAGAATACTTCAGGCAGGCATGGTGGCACATATCTATGGTCCCAGTTAGCTGAGTTGGGAGGATCACTTGAGCCCATAACTTCAAGACCAGCCTGGACACCATACTGAAAACATATGAACATAGTAAAAAAATAAAAATAAAAAACCATCAAAGATCCTTGGAGCAATGTGACTCATCGTCAGTTTGGTTTTACTGTAATAAATGGAGGGGGCTGGAGCTTAAACCTTTCAGGTAGTAAAAACTTTCTGCACATCAAAGTTAGGGCTAAGTTCCAGGCTACAGACTGTCAGAGCTTCTAGGACAGAAGGGGAAATAGGCCCAGAGAGGGGAAGAGACTTGCTCTGAGC